ATAACATGCCACAGGTAACATCAATAAAGCTGTTGAATTAAATCAATGAAATCTTAACTTGTAAATCAGGTTTAATTGTGCACTTATGCTACAGTCAACACTATGCACCAGAATGAATCCACTATGAGTGACCCACAGCATTGTCAGTCCTACACTTAAAAAAAGTCAAGCTACATGTAAGAAAGTGTCCAGTTAACTATGTGATTACCATCTATAGTGCCATGCAACTCCTATTATTTTGGTAGTGACCTGCATAGTGCTTTAAAACGCTGTGGGCTGCCATCTACCATTAAAAATGCATTTGAATTGCTGCCTTTTGTTTTATGAGCAGACAACATTCTGTATTCTGTCTCATCAGTTGATATATTTTTCACTTCCCATTGTCTTCAGGCAAAGTAAAGGCTAAGTTTCCGAGCTGTGATTTAAAACGTCTGGCTGTCGCCAGGCTAAAGACTGTAGACCTAGACTAGGCAATTTTCGCTAACATTATTAGTGATCGCCATGCCACTTTCCCTCATTTTACAGCACTAAGAGGCTGGAAAGGCTGTAGGGGGAAACGTAAAACAATTATTTTGACTCAAGAAGCAAATGGGCACTCCTGCTTTGTGACCAGCAAGTAAGAAATGTGAAATGTTATCCCCTTTGAGAAGGGCATAAGAGCTAGCCTATATTCATGTACTTTCAGTGGGTTCTTGGATATAGCATGAAGGTTTGCAATCTTGGTTAAACATCCATAGACAGCTTACTGGAATACAGCAAACATGGCAGCAACTTTTACAGAGAGTTGCTTTGCAGAGATTTAGGGGAGCAAGGAAGTTAACAGAAAATTAGCTGACTTATTTTAGTAAACAAGGAGGCTAAAAGAAAAACAAGGACAGAGAAACATGAAGGCTAGTTTAGACAAGAAAGCTAGTTTATCAGAGAAACAGTGAGGCTGGTTTAACAGGGAAACATGGAGGCTCATTTAAACAAGAAGGCTAGTATATCAGAGAAACAAAGAGGCTAGTATAACAAGAAGGCTTAAGATAAGCAATGAGGCTAGTTTAAAAGAGAAAATAGGAGGCTAGTTTAGTCAAGAAGGCTATTTTATAGGAGAAACAATGAGGCTAGTTTAACAAGAAGGCTAAAGAGAAACAGTGAGACTAGTTTAAATAAGAAGGCTAGTTGATCAGATAAACAGTGAGGCTAATTTAACAGAGAAAATTGGAGGCTAGTTTAGTCAGGAAGGCTAGTTTACAGTAGAAACAATGAGACTAGTTTAACAAGAAGGCTTTAAGAAAGAAACAAGAAGGCTTGTTTATCTGAGAAACATGGAGGCTTGTTTAATCAAGAAACCTAGTTTATAGGATAAACAGTTTAACAAGAGTTCTAAAGAGAAACAGTAAGGCTATAGTTTAACAGAGAATAGGAGGCTACTTTTGTCAACACATCTATTTTATAGGAGAAACAATGGGGATACTTTAAACAAGAAAGCTAGTTTATAGGATAAACAATGGTTTTAGTTTAACAAGAAGTCTAAAGAGAAACAATGATACTAGTTTAACAGAAACATGGAGGATAATTAAAAAGAAAGAAGGCTAGTTTAAAAAGAAACAATAAGGATAGTTTAAATGAGAAGGCTAGTTTATCAGAGAAACAATGAGGCTTATTTAACGGAGAAAACTGGAGGCTAGTTTAGTCAAGAAGGCTATTCTATAGGACAAACAATGGGGCTAGTTTAACAAGAAGGCTAGTTTTTAGGATAAACAATGGTTTAAGTTTAACAAGAAGTCTAAAGAGAAACAACGATACTAGTTTAACAGAGATACATGGAGGCTAGTTTACATAAGATGGCTAGTTTATCAGAGAAACAATGAGGCTTATTTAACAAGAAGGCTTGTTTAATCAAGAAAGCTAGTTTATAGGATAAACAGTGATGCTAGTTTAACAAGAGGTCCAAAGAGAAGCAGTGAGGCTATAGTTTAACAGAGAAACAGGGAGGCTAGTTTATCAGAGAAACAATGAGGCTAATTTAACAGAGAAAGTTGGAGGCTAGTTTAGTCAAGAAGGCTATTTTATAGGATAAACAATGGTTTTAGTTTAACAAGAAGTCTAAAGAAAAACAACGATACTAGTTTAACAGAGAAACATGGAGGCTAGTTTACATAAGAAGGCTAGTTTATCAGATAAACAGTGAGGCTGGTTTACCAGAGAAACATGAAAGCTGGTACAAGAAGACTAGTTTATAGGAGAAACATGGAGGCTGGTTAAAAAGAAAGAAGGCTAGTTTAAAAAGAAACAATAATGCTAGTTTAAATGGAAAGGCTAGTTTATCAGAGAAACAATGAGGCTAATTTAACAGAGATAATAGGAGGCTAGTTCAGTCAAGAAGGCTATTTTATAGGACAAACAATGGGACTAGTTTAACAAGAAGTCTAAAGAAAAACAACAATACTAGTTTAACAGAAACATGGAGGCTAGTTTACATAAGAAGGCTAGTTTATCAGATAAACAGTGAGGCTAGTTTACCAGAGAAACATGAAAGCTAGTACAAGAAGACTAGTTTATAAGAGAAATATGGAGGCTAGTTTAAAAAGAAGGCTAGTTCAAACAAGAAAACTAGTTTACAACCCTGCTGAAAGAAAACATAGAAACCAGTAAGTGTTTGTTGGTTCTGATGGTTTTGTAATGTGTTTTGGCTTTTATAATGGGTTGATATCACAATGTAAAGGATCCTAATAGTTTAACAGGTGACCAATGGCTGATTCTATATGTATTTGACGGTTTCCTAATGGGATCTAAAGGTGTTCTACAGGAAACTAGTGGTCTCTATTAGAAAACCCTTAGGCCAGTTCCCATTAGAATGTAAAACCGTTTTAATCCCAGTAGTTTCTAATGGTCCTTTTTCAGCAGGGATGGGAATCTGTTTAACAGAGAAACAGTGGAACTACAGAGATTATGAGAGTAACACGAGCTAATTTACATGAGGACCCATAGAGGCCGGTTTAACAGAGAAACAGAGGCTGGTTTGATGAAGTACCAGAGAAACAGTGAGACTTTATTATTATATTCACTCACTCAGACAGACTGAGCTGGGCTGAACTCTGCTATACGGGTCCACACAGACACAATCAATAGGTTATCGTAGCTTTTGAAGGAAAATAACTTCGTTTGACGGGGAAAAAGGCAGAACGAGCAGCAACAGGACCAGCCGTGTCTGAAATCGGCCGTCTGACCGGAGCGGCACGGAGGAGATGAGCTGCAATACCGGACGGCCCTGCAGGTGGCGCTACAATGCAGTGTTTTGGGTGAGTTTGCATTCACTAAGGGCGACCCATGGCGAGGGAATATCACAGAGAGGAAACTGGTTCATGTTGAGGTAAAATTATATTAGCAACGTCCACCGCAGTTTCTAAAGGAATGAAGTCCTGCAGCTCCTCAGACAGGAGAGATCCGTCTGTCTGATTCTGATGGAGGGAGATTGTGGAGTTTATTTTATCCCAGTGACTTTACTAAAGCTATTATAGCCCACACACACACACACACACACACACACACACACACACACACACATATATATATATATATATATATATATATATATATATATATATATTCATACATAAATGTATCTAAACGTGTTCTGCAGGAAACTAGTTGTCTTTAGTGAAAATCATTAAGCCAATTCCCATTAGTTAGATATAAATATAGTAACTATATATTTATATATAGTATATATATGTTATGTGTGATGTGTGTGTGCATATATATATATATATATATATATATATATATATATATATATATATGGTTCTTTAGGGTTCTTTAGTAAAGGCAATGCAATGGTTCTGTTCAGAACCAGGAGTTCTATACAGAGTCATTTGCCAGACTGATGGAGGATGTGTTGCATATGGTTCTATATTGAAGCTTTTTGAAAATGGTTCTATATAGTTCCAAACAGTTCTTGTACCGTATCATTGTGAACAAGCTTGGCATTGTAACAATCTGAAGAACCATTACACCATGCAAAGAACTGTGTAAGTATGCAGATGGTTCTATATGGAACTCGTGGTTCTAAATAGAACCACTGAACCATCTTTACATATACATATATGGTTCTTTAGGGTTCTTTAGTAAAGGCAATGCAATGGTTCTGTTTAGAACCAAGAGTTCTTCTTTTGCATGCTTAAATGGTTCTTTGCATGGTGAAATGGTTCTTCAGATTGCTGGAGAATGTGTTGTATACAGTTCTATATAGAAGCTTTTTGTATATATAGCACCAGAAGCGGTTCTTCTACTGTATAATTGTGTACAAGCATGCAAATGGTTCTATATGGAGCTCATGGTTCTAAATAGAACCACTGAACCATCTTAATATATTAATATATATGTTTATATATATATATATATATATAAATATATATATATATATATATATTTTTATATATATATATATATATATATATATATATATATATATATATATATATATTCAAAGCAGTGTTCCCTCAGTGAAGATCATTAGATCATTTCTAGGTCTACTTCCTTTATTTGGTTAACGCGGTTAATCTTGAACGAATGGAGTAATAATAATGCGGAAAGGTGTTTAGAGCTAATCTCCCACCGCTTTCCAATGCATCATTGTTGTTTACATCCTAATCTCCGTTTTCAGATGATGTGGAGATTAGATTTTACCCTCTTTCTCAACCCCACCTCCGGTACACACGCCCCCCCCAAACCCCCCCCAGCACCCCCCAGCAGCCCCTTTCACGGCGGGATGAGTGTATTACATAAACACCCAGAGCCGGTCGGAGCTCCAGCGCTCGGCAGCTTCACCGACTGCAGCCCGGTGAGTTTGGAGCGAGCCGCGAGCCAGCAAACTCCGGAACACACCCCCCCACCCCTCCACACTCCCTCCCTCCATCCCTTCATCCCTCCCTCCCTCCCTCCTCACATACACATACACTCACTTCTCCTCCTCCTCCTCCTCCCCTCCCTCTCAGATCCGCAGAGAGAGAGAGGGAGAGTGAGAGAGAGCGAGAGAGCGCGCGGAGTCCGAGTCTCGCGCTAGAGCTATACGGTGAAGTGCGTACTAGCGCGCGCGTGTGCCTACGTGTGTATGTGTGTGTGCGGATGGGAGCGAGCGCGAGACCGCCGCCTTCTGCACTCGCGCGCGCGGCTTAGGCTCGCTTCTTCTACTGCTGCTGCTGCTGTTTGGGATATTTAGTGCCGCGTCTTCTTCATCTTCATCTTCCTCCTCCTGCGACCGTGCCGTTCTCGGCTCTCGCGCGGGATTGTGACAGCGCGCCGTTTCTTGCTTTTTACCGGAGGGGAGGACTTATCCGCGAGCGCCGAGGGAGCGAGAGCCGCAGCACAGGTAAGAGCGCGCGCGCGTGAGAGCGAGGGAGAGCGGGCGAGAGAGCGTTTGTGCATGTGTGTGTGCGTGTGTGTGTGTGTGTGTGTGTGTGTGTGTGAGCTCTGCACCATCCGCGCCCATCGGAACCTTGTTCGGTGCCTCGCGCACAGTCTCGAGCTTAAACAAGAACATGCAAACGGGACTTTTTGGTGTGCGCGTGCATACGCTTACAGGCGCGTGCTGCCCCCATTGCTACCCTCTGAAGCAGCTCCGTGCCCCGGTGCTGGGGTTTCTGCACTCCAGGCTCGCGCTCCGTGTCTCGTGCCACAACGAGTCTTCACTGCAGCAAAGCTGTGACCGATGCAGATGGAAAGTTGGGCATGCATGGGTTCGAGGAAGCATCATGCTGGAATGCTGGGCAGTGAAATGAGGAGGAGACCAGCTCAGTGCTGGGTGTGTTAGTGCATCTTCCCTCTCGTGCTTCTCCATAGACCTTCACTGTAATCCTCAGAGTAGCCTACAGTATCTTATCCCTTTCAGAAGTCACTGGCATGAATGCAGGCTGTCTAAAAAGCTCACAGTGGTCCTTCTGAAAAGGTCTGATTGGATCACAGCCTTGGTGAATGAAAGTCATTAGGCTTTTTTGGACTGGGATGCTGCTTCGCTGCACCTGTGCCATGTATCGCAGTGCAGGAGGCTGCTGCGGCTGACCGTAAGCCCGCTTCAGCTGCTCCACTGGAAGCCAGTCAGGCTGAGTAGGAGCCTAGGAGTCATCTTAGGACTACTCATTGCCATTGCATTAGGGGCCACTGCCTTCTTCTCCGCCTGAGAATGTGCCTTATATCAGTCAAAACCTATAGGAGCTGTGTTTATGCTTTGTGTTTATAATCTGTGACCACATGTGATGAAGCTGTGGACCATCTTTACTGACCGGAGAGGCACTATAAAGGCTGCTAACTCCTGCATCTGATTTATATGCCTGTTTTGTGGCAGGACATCTAGTGCACGTTGAAGGATAGCTGAGATAGTCTGAGCAATTCATCCATACATGTGAATTGAGTCTTATAGAGAACAGCTAGTGATGCTGGTCTTCAGTAAACAGAAAACAGAGTCTAGTCAGTCTGACTGGAGCTGGTCTTCACTGTCTATGTCCAAAACATGACATATTCTTCATGGTTGGAGGTGACGGGTTTGTGTGTGACAGCATTTGACCTGTGAGTACTTTAATAGGCTGTATAAACTGGTGCAGCGTGGCAAACCAGCACCAGCCATGGACGGTGGATCAGCTGGAGCTCTGCCGGCTTCTCTGCGCATGTGAGCCAGACAGAGAGAAAGAGACAGAGTGAGGTGGGTGTGCTGGTTCAGTCCGTGCGTAAGTGCGTCTGAGTGTGTGTGTAGGTGTGCATGTGTGTGCAGAACAATGACAGCCGAACACGTTTCAAGGAGAAACACCACGCAGCAGCGTGCTCTGGTAGAACTGAAGCCTGGGCAGTTTCAGTGCCTATCCAGGCCGGTGTTAGGCTTCAGCGTGTGACCTGAGAGACTGCGTCTGTTATTCCAGCATGTGTTGATTTAAGTGTGGTGTTTCTTACAGTTCTGTGATGATGTGGAGGGATTGTATCTGGAAAGCCTTGCTGTTGGTCTGGACCTTCAGTATTTGACATGGAGTTGGGGGTGTGTTGCCAGCTACTTCTGATGCGCGTGTGTGTGCGAATTTGTTTGTACGTTTTCAGGACACAAATGGTCTGATTTTTGTCCTGATGCAGGAAAAGCAGAGGAAAACTGGCAACCTGTAATGCGCAACATTAAAAGGTCCTGAGGTTTACTTTTTACAAAGCTACATGTGTCATTTTTTAAACTAAAAGGGTAAAAACATTTGGTGACTGAGGTTCAGGTCAGACTTAGATTTAGGGTAAGACCTAAATTTGTATTACAGATAGATACTTACATATATATATGCGTGGAACATATTATTATATATATATATATATATATATATATATATATATATATATATATATATATATGTGTGTACACATGTACATGTAATAATGTGTTCCATGCATTACACATATATATATATATATATGTTTATATATATATATATATATATATATATATATATATATATAGTATTTATATGCAATATTTATGAAACATTTTATTAATACATAAAGGTTTACATGCATACATATCTACACACAGGCACATGTATGTATATATATATGTATATTTATATATATATATATATATACATACATAGATAGATAGATAGATAGATAGATATAAGGGGTCCGACATATGTAAGTATGTGTGTGTCTGACCCCACGTCCTTATAATATATAAATACAAACCATGTGTGTGTGTGTGTGTATGAGTGTGTGTGTGTGTGTGTGTGTGTGTGTGTGTGTGTGTGTGTGAGTACGTGAGCGTGTGACTCTGTCACCATGTGTCATGCGGGTCTGAATGTGGAGCTTCAGAGCTGGTGAATGGGCTCCACTGTTTGAGCTGCCTGCTAGGCCCCGCCCCCTTTGTTCTGACAGGCCAACCCGACACTCTGCCATCCAATCAAATCGCGTATTCCTTTCCCAGCTGTCCAATAGAGCTGTGCACCGACTGCTCCTTTTTATTTAATGGCTGTTGCCTGCGGGGCTGATGATAATAATAATGATGAGCTCGTTTAATGTGAATGTGTTTTATCTGTGCACGTGTGTCCGTTTAGGTCTACCTCCGTTAGATAGCAGCAGGCTGATGAGTAAGCAAATGTAGGGAGTAATTGGAAAGTGATGGTGATGAGGTTGATGTGAGATGTTTTCTACCTTAACAGCGCTGCCAGACGCACTAGCTGACAGGATTATGTGAGGAAGAAAAATCAATTTTTGTAATCTTGCTTTTAATGAGACTCCTCTGGATTGTCCCCCTCTGCAGCCCTGCTGGAGCTGCGCATACATATGTGTGTGCGCGTCCAGCCTGTGGAGCAAAAGTGTGTTTCTGGTCCGGCTGTTGGGATCATGTTGCTATAACAGCGCATGAGGGTCTCGGTTGCATGTGTGCGTCACTGTGGATCTGTGTTAAACATGTTTTTTTGCTGGTTCTGCTGTGGACCTTGCGCTTTTAACTACAACGCCGTTAAAGTTTCAGCTTTTTTTTATTGAATAGTTCCTCTTTACACTCTTCTGCTGCTGGGCGTGATGTAAAGATGGCAGGAATCCAGTGCTAGAGATGTGCATTTCAACTAATTTTGACATTTGAGTATCTGCAAGAGGTTAGGACGGGAAAAAACAACACCAAAAACAGAAAAAAATGCATTTCAGCTGAAATGAATGTAGAGCTGTGCTTACTTTCTTAGGTGGCAGCACTGGTGTTGCACTGAAATTCAGCATCTTGCAGAGGAAGACATTTCAAAACATGTTTTATTATTCAAAAATAGCTGATGGAAATGAGTAGGTTCTCATGCTAGATGAGTGATAGTGACCTAAAAGGGGTGCCTCGGATGAGCTAATGAGCTAAAACTACAGCTAACTTGTAACACTGAATGCTGATGGAGACTCGTCATCCTCTACAGGTGTTTCTCCTCTTCACTAGCAACGACAAGCAATCAGTTTGGTGACTAAAGCCACACTATCCCGGCCTTAACACTGCGCATCCTTGGCAGTCAGCTCATGTTAAGGCCTGATGCCTGAGACATTGTTTTATGATAGTTTTGTCCAAAATGATAACTTTACAGGAGAAGGAAAAAACATACTTTACTTTTAATGTAAGTCAATGGAACCAGACGTCTTTACAAGTAATTTTGGGCCGTTTCTTTTGGCCCATTCATCGTGAAATTTACGCACAATATAAAGGGCACCAGGTACTGTCAAATTATGTCAAAAACTGAAAAACAATATACTTTAGCAGCAATGTTACTTTATTGTTAACATTCATGGTGCAGAGGTATGTGCAATGTGTTGTAGGTCAAAACAGCGTCCAAAGAAAACTTTTTGTTTTCAGATTTATGACTGTTTTACCATCAACATAAATATGAAAGCTCAGAAGACTCGTGTAGGTTCACTGGTGGTTTTGGACAGTAAATAAAATGGCTATATTTGTGTTGTAGTCATGGTGACACCTGGTTCCTATCAGCACCACTGTAAAGACATCTGAGTCTCTATGCTTTTCACAACAAACCACTCTGAATTACTGTGTTTACATCTCAACCACTGAATTATGTATAAATTCTGAAAAATCTGTGGAATTCCTCTTAAAGGAGAAACATACTTGTGAGTGTCTGAAGCTTGCTCTCTTCCTTCCTCTTGGTCTCCCTCTCTCCTCCTCTGTTTCTTTCTTTCTCTCGCTGTCTCTCTCTTCCTTACTCCTTCTCTCTCTCTCTTTCTCTCTCTCTTTCTCTCTCTCCTTCTCTGTTTCTTTCTTTCTGTCTTTCCCTCTCTCCTTCTGTTTTTCTTTCTCTCGCTATTTCACTTTCTCTCCCTTTCTCCATTTCTTTCACTCTTGCTTTTTTTTCTCTCTCTCTCTCTCTGCCTCTCTCCACCTCTGTTTCTTTCTTTCTCTCGCTATCTCTCTCTTCTTTACTCCTTCTCTCTCTCTCTTTCTCTCTCTCTTTCTCTCTCTCCTTCTCTGTTTTACTTTCTCTCCCTTTAATCTCTTTCACTCTCACTTTTTCTCTCTCTTTCTTTCTGTCTCTCGCGCTGCCTCTCTCTCCTTCTGTTCTTGATTCTGAAGTTCTAAGTGCAACTAATTTAACTCTTTGCGCTCTGTAAACTCCAAAGACTTCCAGATTGCAATTCATCACTCTCTTATATACACACTTGAAAATGATGGTCTCAAGGGTTCTTTAGTAAAGAAAATGGTTCTATATAGAACCATGAACACTCAAAGAACTCTTTGCATGATTAGAGGGTTCTTTGCATCATGAAAGCGTTCTTCAGATTGATGGAGAATGTGCTGTATATGGCTCTATATAGAACCTTTGTGAAATGGGTTCTATATAGCACCAAAAAGGGTTCTTCTATTGTAACATG